CTATATCAAATCTGCAAACTCTGCTCTTCTGTTGTGACTAGTACATCAGACAAGCTACAGGATTTACAATTTTAAAGAGTTATGAAAACTCAAAGAATGGAAATATTAGCTAGTGTTGAGATTACAGACCAACATCAACCAAAAGAGATGAGATTTGCATACAATTTATTTCTTACTCAATGTGATGATAAACACAAAAGTGTCCTCTGGGAATGCATGTGGATGCCTGATAGGAAAAGGCAGATAAAAGCTTGAACTATTTATATAGCTGTGTTCGAGAAACACTTATTTTGCCGTGGTGCGCTTCGACTGGCTGGTAAGTCTGAGCACATGCAACATCAGGCTCGCTGTGATTGGTTGTAATACGGAAGCAGGAGCATCTGGATCAGTTCAGATCTTGGAATCATGGAGAAAACAACTTCACTGAAAATTGGCAATGAATTTTTGGACTGGGTTGGTTGTTGGGTTGGGTTGGGTTTGGTTGGGTTGGGATTGGGTTGGGTTGGGTTGGGTTGGGTTGGTTGGGTTGGGTTGGGTTGGGTTGGGTTGGGTTGGGTTGGGTTGGGTGGTGGGGGGGTTGGGTTGGGTTGGGTTGGGTTGGGGTTGGGTGGGGTTGGGTTGGGTTGGGTTGGGTTGGGTTGGGTTGGGTTGGGTTGGGTTGGGTTGGTTGGTTGGGTTTGGGTTGGGTTGGGGGTTGGGTTGGGTTGGGTTGGGTTGGGTTGGTTGGGTTGGTTGGGTTGGGTTGGGTTGGGTTGGGTTTTGGTTGGGTTTTAGGTTAGGTTTTTTAGGTTAGGTTTTAGGCTTAGTTAGGTCCATTACTGGAAATGCAACTCCACACCTGAATCAAAGAATCTAAGCTTACGAAGTAGTAGAAAACATCATTCTATAAAAGTTTTCTTCTATATAATTTTCTCCGCAAACTGATAATAATGGTATTATTGAGGGTATAAAATCCACAATCTCCAGGAGCCGCAGTAACCTTATGCCTCCTGCATTGCGACAAAATGACACAAAAGTCATTAAGAGCAACAGAGTACTGGACAGATTTGTAGCAGATGATGCATGTGAAAGAAATCAAATGAGCCAATTAGACTCACACGTGAATGTGACATAAACATACTCTCAACAGAACCCATCAAATATGGAATAGATCGTCACGTGACAATAGAAGCTGGGCCTAGGAGAAACCTTTTGAAGTTTAAATCAGTTCCATCACGGCTAGAGAGTGTGTAGGTTGCGAGAACAATTATTTCATTTCATTGCAAAATATCACCAAAATAACGAAGCACACTTACTCAATGAGATCATGGTGTACTTCCAGTGAGAGTAAAATGGTTGCACTGTAAGACATAGTATCATTACAGAAAAGACAGAATCCAATGGGGTTGTGGTGCATGGAAAAGGGTCCTAAAAACAAAAGGAAGAAAGATGTGTAACTTTACTATAAGCGATCCCAATTCCCTCGAACAACGAACTGGAATACCCCGACAATCCAGTGCAGCAGCCCCCCTGAAAGGAGTTTTAAGGGGGCAGAACCCCCTATACAACCTGGTAATGCATTAATATATTATGATTGTTAGTGTTCTACCAATATTTCTAAAAATTAGCCCCCAAATTCCCTAATATGTATTATGCCCTCACTAGCTATCAGGAGTAATATTATAGTTATGCTTTTTTTTGCAATGGTAATGAGAGATAGATTCATTCAAAACATGATGAAAGATATTAGAAAATTATTCTACTCACCCAAAAAATGGTATGGTGCTGCCTTTCCAAAATCTACCTAGGTTAGGTTAGGTTAACTAACTAGGGTTTGCTGCTAAAAAATAGCAAAATAATCAGTCTAACAGCAATGCTGTGCATAATAACTTCATGTGATGCCCCTGTGTAAAATGTCACAGCCACTGTCCAATCAGAGCGCTTCACAGCATATGTGTTTCCCGAATGTTGCTGGTTCACGGCACTATATCCACTGCCTATCAGTTATGTCATTATTAGTATTACTGGTAGATATTTGCAATTTGAAATTTACAATGGACATATCATTGACAAAGTTTCTCAGAATTTTGGTTAAGACATCAGTTTCATGCACTGTTTACTTTGCAGATAATAACAAATATTGAAAAAAATTGCCATTGTAATAATATCATGAAATAACTATAACAATTTCAAAAATTTTACCAGTCCTTCTCTTCCAATCTGTTATGCTCTCTTAATTTCTCTCCATCACGAAAACATCTTTCTCTTTCCTCTAAACTCTGGCAACCCCACTTAAGTACAGAAACCACACTATTTACACATACAATCCTTTTATTTTGTCAGTAATTTATTATTCCTCACTTTTTATTTACACTTTCCTTGGATGTCTTCCAGACTTGTCAACAACTATTTGTTTCCTCTCCTATGTCTAATTCCCCATTCATACTCATAAAATTCCCTTCTCCCTTAGAATAAACACACCTACAACTTATTCACAGTGATAATTACCTCTCAAACTGTCTCTATATGTGTGAATTCTCAATTGAAAGGAGATGATTTTTCATACGTCTTCAACAGATGAGCTTTCGGTGGCTTTCCAAAAACCAGGTCGGTTGCTCACAGAACTGGGTCGACGGTGAGCTTAATTGGATCCAGGTTTTGGTATTTTTCCCCAATAGTCTTCTTATTCTTGATTGATTTCTTTTTCTCCTTTCTGCAGATTTATTCAGAGCTTAAGGTGTTTTGACGTTCTGTAAGTCTTTTTCCTATCTGTTATTATCGTTAGTGTTTTTAGTCTATTTAACTCTTGCTATTCTTGCTAGCATCGAATTATGTATTCTACTGCATTTCACTATTTCTGTCTTACAAATGGATTCAAACCCAAATGCATTCTTAATCTTATTACTTCCATTATCTATTTAATCATTCATCTTTTCCGAAATACAGCATTTTTGAGAATTGACTCGTGAACGAAAGGAATTCCGAAATTTAAACTTTCCAGTGATAATTGCATTTCTTAAGCCGTTTTATCGTTATTATTATTTCTGGCAGTTTAGCTTCGGTCTGTTCTTTATTTTGGTGTTCATTCTTTTAATCTTTTTTTTCAGAAATGGATCGCCGGCTGACCTCTCTAGAACCATCATCTTTTATTATTTGTTATTTTCAGCAGCATTTATTGCTATTGTAATTAATATCATCATTGTTATTGTCTTTGTTACCATTGTTATTATTATTATCACTATTATTACTGTTATCATCATTATCATAATTATTAATATTATAATAATAATAATAATAATAATAATTATTATTATTATTATTATTATTATCATTATTATTATTACCATCATCATTATCATCATCATAATTTTATAATCATTATTATTACTATTGTTATCACCATTATCATTATTATTATTATTGTCCTTATCATTATTATTATTACTGTTATCATCATTATTACTATTATGATTATTATCATTATTATCATTATCATTATTATTATCATCATTACTATTATCATTATCATTATTATTATTATTATTATTATTATTATTATTATTATTATTATTATTATTATTATTATCGTCATCAATATCATTATCATTACCAATATTATCATTATTATTGTTATATTATTATTATGATGATTCCTAATCATCATCATTATTATCATCACTTCATTAGTATCATTGTCATAATCAGTGTTAGTGTTATTATTATCATTATCATTATCATTACCAAAATATCATTATCATCACTATCATGATTGTTTTATTATCACCATCATCATAATAATTATCATTATTTTTGTTATTACTATTAACACTATTATTATTATTATCATTATCATCATTACATTGCCATTATCATTGTTTTCATTATCATAATCATTCATATCAATTTCACTGTAATAGCATCATCAGTAATATTATTATGAACACTATCATTTTCACTATAATTATCACTATTCCTATTACCAGTGTTATCGTTATTATCATCATCATTATTAGCATCATTATCATTACCATTGTTGTTGTTATTATTATCATGATTATTCTAATCGTTATCATCTCTGTTACTCTTATTGTCGTTACCGTTGTTATTATTATCGCCATTATCATTTTAATCATCATTATCATTCTAATCGTCATTATTATGAACATCATCATTATTATTATTATCATTATTGCTATTACGATGATCAATGCCCTTATTGGTGTTATCATTATTATCATTATCATAATCATTATTATCGTGATCATTATTATTGTCACTGACTTTATTGTTACAGTTTTCATGAGCATCATCATCACCATGATTATTGTTATTATTATTATTATTAATATTAATGTTATTATTATTAATATTATTGTTATTATTATTAATATTATTGTTATTATTATTATTATTATCATTATTATTATTTATCATTATCAGTATGATCATTATTATTATTGTTATCATTATTATTAATGATCATTATATATATATATATATATATATATATATATATATATATATATATATGTGTGTGTGTGTGTGTGTGTGTGTGTGTGTGTGTGTGTGTGTGTGTGTGTGTGTGTGTGTGTGTGTGTGTGTGTGTGTGTATGTGTATCATATATATATATATATATATATATATATATATATATATATATATATATATATATATATATAGTTGTGTGTGTGTGTGTGTGTGTTATATATCATATATATATATATATATATATATATATATATATATATATATGTGTGTGTGTGTGTGTGTGTGTGTGTTGTGTGTGTGTGTGTGTGTGTGTGTGTGTGTGTGTGTGTTTGTGTGTATTATTATATATACATACACACACACACACACACACACACACACACACACACACACACACACACACACACATATATATGTATATATATATATATATATATATATATATATATATATATATATATATATATATATTATATATATATATAATATGTGTGTGTGTGTGTGTGTGTGTGTGTGTTGTGTGTGTGTGTGTGTGTGTGTATAAAGATATGTATATATTTATGTAAATAAACATATATATATATATATATATATATATATATATATATATATATATATATATATGTGTGTGTGTGTGTGTGTGTGTGTGTGTGTGTGTGTGTGTGTGTTCTTACCTAGTTGTTTCAATACGGGAGAAGAGCTAAGCTCAGGTGGTCCCGTCTGCTATATTCAAATTGTTGTATAACTTTTATAATTGATGTACATTTGTGGGCACACACTACGTTTTCGGGGGAGACTGTTCCATGCTTCAGTAGTTATGTGTGGAAAACTAAATATTTTGACATCTTTATCACCTCCTTTTACTTTCAACTTTTTGTTGTGTCCTCTCGTCTTTCTGGTGTTCAACATCAAAAAGTCATCTTTATCTATTTTCACTCTTCCTGTGTGTGTGTTCTAGCTCTCTTCCTTTTTCTTTTCCTTCTCCCTCCCCCGCTCCCGTTACTTTCTACTTGTCTATGTACCCTTATCTATCTCTAGAATACCCATATGTATAGCTAGAATCTAAAAAAAAAATGACAGGAAAATACAGCTGCAAATATAAGGCCTGTCCATTGTAGATTATATAGTAAAGAACTAATAAATGCAAGATTAAAAACTTTCGATCATGAAAAAATACGGCATGCTTAGGGTTATAAATATAAGAAATATTTCCTATATCAATACGAACAGATAATCCAAGAGTTTAGGCCGTTGGCTATGTTGCTAACCTACGTAGAAAATGTCAACAAGGATCTTTTGTTAGGTAAAAGATACGCTTCACGTAAAATACTGGACATAACCACCATAGACATGACTTTTAGCGTCACCCCCTGGTAATATGGTTCACATCTGCACACCGACAGAGCTGCGTATGATAGAAGTCCATCTTGCTTAAGATTTAGTTCAATATTCCTTGGCAAAAAGTACGGTCGCTTTGGAGGAAATCTTAAAATCTCCCAGATATCATGATTTCGGTTCAGTGTCAAAATGCATACTCGCGATTGTACATTTCTTTGTTAAACTGGAGTTAAACATAGCTTAGAGATCATCTTTTTTCCTCAAATTCAAAAGCTTACAAAGAGTAATCCCCCCCCCCCAAGGAGTACATGCTGAAATACAAAACATGACGTTGCGACATGTAGCCTAATAAACTTCATCTATGACATAGTGAATAAAAAAAGATGATAGAATAATACAACGTTTATGTTAATTTTGTCTTTCATCATGGATTAAAAGAGAATTCTGGGTAGAACACAAAACATAGGTGCGCGCGATGCAGCTTTAAAATCGCCATCATTTTTATTGCTCTTTTAGAAAGCGTACGCGTGGGTTTTGTCACCCCCCCTCCAAAAAAAAAAAAAAAAAAATACGGCTCGTCAAAATGATGAAAAAAATGGATGACGCTTAGCTAACTGTTTCCCTAAGACCAGATACCAGTGAAGAGTGAAAAGGCGCCCTGTTAAACTAAACAAGGCAAGCAAAGCAAGCTCAGCATAAATTGACTTGGCGTAACTTCTATGGAGTTCATGCGACCTGCAGAAACTAAAGTAAAACATTTTTCATGCTTTAACACTAGGGAATGGGACCCACATCTTAACCATTGTGCGCCGGACAGCATCCTGCAATTGCTGTGTTGTGTTACTAACTCTCTCTCTCTCTCTCTCTCTCTCTCTCTCTCTCTCTCTCTCTCTCTCTCTCTCTCTCTCTCTCTCTCTCTCTCTCTCTCTCTCTCTCTCTCTCTCTCTCTCTCTCTGTGTGTGTGTGTGTGTGTTGTGTGTGTGTGTGTGTGTGTGTGTGTGTGTGTGTGTGTGTGTGTGTGTGTGTGTGTGTGTGTGTGTATGTGTGTGTGCGCGCGTTTCTGTGCTCTTCTTCTCTACCTCTTTGTTTCCTCATGCCGTAGGTAATTACCTTGCCCGTTGGACCTACCTACAGCGAACATATACAATATAAAAACTGAGACTGAAAGAGGTTATAAGGTCACACGCATGACATTAGCTGACATACGCCCATGAGCTTTGGATTGAGGTCATTACAGGGGTCGAACTTTGGTATTGTATTCACAAATGAAATTGAAAGTGGAATTATTAGATTACGGTGATTAGAGTGGTTAAAACGAAAGCATGACTGAATATCATGTTTTTTCGTTTTTTTTTCTTCTGCGGTCTTTTGGTTTTATACGCAGAATAGTGACTGGATGATAATGAATGTTTATCGCTTACCAATGCACCGGTATCTGGTGGCGGGCCATTTTAGAATCCTCTCAGTCTCCTCAATCTTAGCATAGTCGCAAGAAAGTCACATCTCATATGAATGGCTACGTTGGTCCGCGCCGACCTGCGACGCATAAATTTGGACTACCCCTCGACATTGGCCACTGCGCAATAGAGTGTCATTGGGAACACGCAAAAACGCAGTTTTGCTGATATACATTTTAAGAAATCCGAGTCCACACAGCAGACCTAAGGACATACCTTTTTATCATAAGGAATGCGGATACGTATTCAGATTTTTTTTCTTTTTTGGTTATCGAAGAATTCATTTACAGTTATGAGACTTATGCATTTTATTAATCACAAGGAAGGGAAACATTTTCTTCAAATGTCATTTACCATTTTTCATGAGCCTTTGTAATC